GTGGTAGCCAAAGGGGAGGGGATTGGAGGGATGGGAGAACTAGGGGGAAAGGATAAGAGGTACAAACCTACAGTTACAAGTAAGTCACAAGGATGAGAAGTACAGCAGAGGGAATATAGTTAATGATACTGTAATGTTTATGGTGGCAGATGATAACTACACTGATCGTGGTGAGCACTAAGTAATGTACAGAACTGTCCAATCACTATGTTGTACACCTAAATTTAACATAACATTGTGTGTTAGCTACAATAAAAAATTTTAAGACTTTTTATATCTGAGACTATTTATGAAAAGTTCCAGCAAAGCAGATTTAAAAGAGCCTATATGATCAACTGCTATTCTTGCTGCACTGACGTGAATAATGAAGCCAAGTTTATTGAAACTTGATCTAATTTGCAAACAAATTAGTCTTACTCTGGTTACTGTTGATAGAAATGGGAGTGATTGTTGAGAGAAACATTATGATTCCACTGTAACTATAATACATGATTTGGGGTATTAGATTTTAGTTCTGTTCATTGTTTTGAGGTTTTGAATTCTATCTATAAACTACTCTGGTTCCTGAATTCTTCCAGATTCCTCCAATGTCAGACTACAACTCTCCAAACTAACATTTCCAATTTTCTTCCATCTCTTTGACTTGAAATCACTGAACACTGAAACTGCCCCTTTTCCTGAAGCCTTGACAACTGAATATGAACGACTGGATGTATACTTCAGAGAAACCACTACATTAGCTCATATGCAGACAATCTCTGAGCCTGTTGCTGTGTGGGCCACTCACAGAGATCACCAGAGACATTCCAGCTGCAAACCGGGAAAGCTCTCCAATTGCCACAGCCTCCCTTCACTCCATCTAAAGATGCTTTGACCCTGACGTCTAGAAATCCTCTCGACTGCCACTCTCAGAACTCAGAAGCTGTTGTATCATTGGCTCCACTCATTAATCACTGGTTTTGTTTCCGTAGAAATACCACATATTTAATACCTGGTTACTTGATTAATTGTCCTGCAAATTTCTCACAGATTTATGCTTCTTTGTCTAAAACGTATAAAAGCTGCCTGCCTTGGTCATTCTCTGTGTCTCAATTTCATCATTGGACCTCCTTGCATATGCAATAAAACTTTGGTTTTTTTCTCCTGTTAATGTCAAGTTAATTCTTAAACCAGCTAGAGGAATCGTCAAAGATAGAGAAAATATTTTCCTCCCCTGAACCAGTAGTCAAGGCTCCACGGTGTCACCTAATGAAAAGCAGGCCCGCAAGACTGTAGATTCTTCCAGCTTTGCCTTCAGGAGGAATATGCACATTTGTGTAGGTCAGGGCTTACATTTACACAGATGCCAGGGACCCCAAAAGTCCACTGTGACACCTGGACTCTAGACACATGTCCTGTTCTAGGTCCCTTGCTCCCCAGCCCACACATACACAGTACACAGCCTTTCAGTTGCCATTGAGCATCTGGGGTGTCCAGGCCTGGAGAACTCTGGCCAGTCCCCAGCTACTCTGAATGCCTCCAGAAAGAACGGAACCCACTCACAATATCTTACCGAGGCAAAAGTTTAAAGTAATGACATCAGGGGCACCAGGGTGACTCAGTCAGTTAAGCATCTGCCTTTGCCTCAGGTCATGATCCCAGAGTCCTGGGATCGAGCCCCGCATCAGGCTCCCTGCTCAGCAGGGAGCCTGCTTCTCCCTCTGCCTCTGCCCCACCCCCACTCATGTTCTCTCTCACTCTCAGATAAATTCTTTTAAAACAATAAAATTTAAAAATAATAAAGTAATGACATCATTTTCCATTTGGAGTGGCTGCCTGATGGTGTCCCAAGGTTCTCCAGCCACCAAGGCTGCCAGGTGTCCCTTCTAGGAGGACACCCTGCCCAGTCTGCCTATATGCCAGTCTTGCCCCACCATGGCTAGGCACGGCACTTTCCTCCGCTCAGCCTTCAGGTTGAATATGCACATTAGTGTACATTCAAGCTTGGAATTAGATGGGTGCCTTGTGCCCCCAACAGCACATTCCCTGGACCAGGCTTCTCCTGACACTTTCCCTGTATCTGGCACTGGCTACCGTGACCAGTGTGGCCCACACATGCACTATAATAAAACATCAGCAGACCTCTACAATAAAATATATTTTGAACATAGTTGTAAAAGGTAGGATGAGAGTAGCAAATATGCCTCCTGAGTACTCTTACCAAGGTTACTGGAGATGAGGTTTTGGGGGAGATAGATTATATATTAATGTCTGAGGAGACATGGAGACCTACTGAACATAGTCTGGAAAAACTTAAAATTTAGGTAATTCTCACGTTGCCCTGATAACTCAGTGAGGTGTATCCTATACTTAACAGAGCAATGAAGGAAGACAATCCACCCCTCTCATCAGCAAAATTAGCTGACATCAGTGCTGACAGGTAGAGAGAAAAAGTGCTGATGAGGAGAGTAACCTCCAGAGGAGGAGGAAAACCACCCTTATGCACCTGGGGTCAACAACAAGCACTTTGAGGTGGATGATTATTTTAGCCCCTCAGACCCTGGGAACCTGAACTTACTGGAATCCATGCCTATGAAATAACCAGAGTTACAACAGATGATAATGTGGAACCAGAGTCACTGAACACAGGGCTTACACCAGACAAGATGTGAGAAAGTTTAAAATGGAATTGCAAAAAAGAGGAACAACCCACACCAGCTTGCTCAGCCAGGGCTAGACCCAGGGCTGCTAGGCTGCTGGTCACTCATGAACCCTGGCCGGTGCCCCACTGCTCTAGAGGGATGAACCCTGTGGCTTGGGCAATGGGAAGCCGAGGGGAGAATGATCATCAATAAGTCCTTGAGGGGCCAGGATATGTGGAAGGACACTTAGGTCCGTCTGCAAGAGCCTGGGGTGGTCCTCACTGTTTTTCATATCCCGGCTCAGAAGGCTCTAACAGCTCCTGGCCATCAGGCAGCAGATGCCCCAGCTGAGGCTCAGCCCTGGATATGGACTCTTCAGGAGAGACAGCAGATTGGGAGCATAGACAGAATGGCCACCTCCGGGGCTGGATGGGGTGGCCTAGAGCCACAGATGCAGCCCTGTGTACAAGACCAGTGACCAGGTTAATGCACTATCATCAAGTCCTGCGTGTTCTCAACAATGCCCAAGGCAAGTGCCAAGGGATTTCAGGACTATCCATGAAGTTCCCACCCAGGGTGGGATTGGCAAATGGATTCTCCTGGCCCCTGCCTCTGAGTCAGGGTTCTAAATGTGCCTTGGTTTGCATGGACACTGCATCTGGCCTAACCCAAGCCTTCCCTGTCACCGTGCAAACCAGGCTGCCACCACTAGGGAAGCTGAGCACC